GTCTGTCTGTCTGTCTGTCTGTCTGTCTGTCTGTCTGTCTGTCTGTCCGTCTGTTTGTATGCAATCTAGTCTCTCAGTTTTCGAGATATCCGGATGAAATTTGGTAGGTGAGTGTATTTTTATAATATATTAATCATTTGTCGGAACCGGAAGAATCGGACCACTATAACATATAGCTCCCATACAACTGATTGTTCAGATATGAGAATTTTCGTTATAACTCCTCCATTTATGCAGCTGGGAACATGGCATTTTGCAATATTTCCACTCATTATCAAAAACATACTTACAGTGAAAATGGCGAAGATCGGGTCGCTATAACCTATAGCCTCCATACAACTGATTATTCAGTTTCGAGATTCTTTGTTATAACTTCTCCATATATGCAGCTAGAAACATGAAATTTCGCAATATTTACACTAATTACCAACAGAAAGTTTACAGTAAAATTAACAAAGATCGGGTCACTGTAACCTATTTATATCCTCCATACAACTGATTGTTCAGATATGCCGTTTTATTGTAAAACTGCTTTATTCGGACTGCTAACACAGATAAACTTCGTAAGCTATTCTATAAATAATAATACAAAGTCTACTGAGAAAATCGTCAAAATCTACGCTGTATAAGCTTTATCTCTTATACCTCTGATTGTTCAGATACCAGTTATTACGATATATCTCCTTTATGTAGGAGTCTAAACTCATTGAGTTGTGTTACCAGTTTACATACCGATAACACAGCAGTGAAAATCACTTAGATTGGTGCTATATAATGTATATCTTCCATACCTGATTGCTTAGATATGGTTTTTCATATATGTATCTCCTCTATCTATGTATTCTGTAAATATAAAATTTTTTTAAAATGCAGTAATCTATTAAAGTAAAATTTTCAGATACTCATGAAAGGTATGAAGCCTTCGGCATAGCCGAAGACAGCGCTGCTCTTACTTGTTTTCAAATAATTTTCAACGTAATTGAAAGAACAAAATTTTTTTTACTTAAAAAGTTTTTAGCACGTCGATAATTTTTGGCATTCGTAATACTTACTCGGTACTTTATATCGAGTTCTCAATATTACTCAGTGCTCGTGAAAAGTATCGATTTTGTGTACTCGGCACATGTATATTTCTATCACTATCCACGGCTGGGCAGGTTAAAAAATGTTGGTTTTTCGATTTTAGTAACATTAGTCTATCTTACAATTACATATCTCCTCGGATTAAATAATTATGGTTTTTTTTTCGAGCACGTCGAGAATTATTTTAGAATTTTTAGCAATTTGCGTGAAAACCCAAAAATTAATTAATTTGGAATTCATTTTCTACTTAAAAATAGCGATAGAGAGACTAAGGAAATCAGAAAAA